TCTTTAAGACAGTTAGACATGGACTTCTAATATTTGGGAAATGCAGCAATGTCTTTCAAAAGAGGAAAATGATCTTCTCCTCTCCTCTTCTGTCTGTCAGGAATGTCTCCAACTGTAGACTGATCAAATGATGTCAAAATCAGAAAATTTTAAGTCATAACCACAGTTAAATATAACAGCGTAGGCACATTGTGTAAAATCGAGAAGCTTTAGACAGAGATGATCTCTTCCTTCTCACCTTTCATCTCTTTTTGCATTGATTTTATTGCACTATAAAGGATTTAGCACACGTTTGCTTTTGCGCACATGTGAAGTCGCATGGGATATATCTGAAAGCGACTGGTCTTGCAATCTGTCTCGTCGGTTATTTGTTGGCTCCCTCCGTTTATTTTTTTATACCATGTGTAAACACTTTTACTTGAAGATGTATTAAAGTCAGTCCTTTATCTGAAAGTCATGCACTGATTTCTCTTTCACTGTACAACCTGTACTACTGTTTATGACTAGTCAGAGCTGTCACGCAGTGGAAGAGCAAAGGAACGCAAGTGTGAGTTTTGCATCATGTGCTCATCCCATTTGTTCTGTCACTTTCCAGACTAATATAAAGGCCAAAACAAAAGGTACGATTCCAGAATACTTTAGGTGATACTTGTTGGCGATTGTGGTCAGAGATCAGGACTTGACTTTAAGTTAAAAATGTTTTTATTTTTTCATTTATATTACATTTTTTAAGTAATCATTTATAATAAATTATTATTACTTTTATTGTTAAAAAAAGTTATTATAATAAATATTCAAATAATAATTGTTAAAAAAAGACATTAAATTGCTGGTCCTACACTTTTTTTTAGCTTATGGTAATTCTGATCATTTTTGTTTATTTTATCCATTTTGATCTGCATATAAATAAAACTGTTTAAAACTATTTTAACATTTTTAATGTTTATTTTTATTTTTATTTTTTTAATACTAGCAGCTTTGACCATATACTACATGATTATTTCAATTAAATTTGTAACTTTTTTTGGGTGGGGGTTCCAGGTGTTAACTCGAATGAATGAATGAATGAA